AGTGCTGAGGCATACCTAGAGGTCTTGGCAAGGGGATGTATTAGCACCCACAACCAGTCCCTTGTGCCCTTGGCAAAGAGATGCATTGGCACCTCAGAAGCCAGGAAAGACCATGGACCAGAAACTGAAGAAGTTTGCTTTGTGTCACCTTTTATGCCCCGCCACCAGTGACTTCCTCTGCAGCCACCAGGATCAGGTCTGCTCTGCTGCTCCTTCTCCTCTATTGGTCTGTCTGAGCACACAGATGGGCAGGCTCCTGGCCACTACAAGCCAGAGTACAGAGGCACGATTTTTCCACCCCCCTTCAGGGGAGGGGGCAACGGGCCAAGACCTGGGTATGCCCCTGCACCTCTATAGAAAGGGGGAGGGGGAGAAATTGAGAGTCTACCAAATGTTTACTTCCTGAAAAAAATATGCAGACTGAAATGCAGGTATCCTTTTCCAAGTTTTGCAATGCAGTTAAAAAAAGAAGAAAAAAGAAAGGTGTTACAAAAATGCATTATGTTCAGAGAAAGTTTGCATAAAAGTGCATATATATATATATATCAGTATAAATAACTTACTAAAAATGCAGTGAACTCAGTGGGACTTCATCCCTGGTGAGTAATTAAAGGTTTGCAGCCTCAGCAATGGGTGGGAGCGTATGTAACTCCAAATTCAGCACTTGCTACATAACTAAACCCAAATTCTGAGAGAGGGCCATCATCACTCAATGAAACATGAGGTCTGTTAGGGGCTGGACCATACCAACCCTACAGAAATGGTTCATCATGAATTGTATATATGACACCAGGTCTTGAGCCACTGTTGTTGCCCTTGGGGATGCAGAAAGCAAAGGAACTGGCCTGCAAGACTTTCTCTCTGATGCATGGTGCACAAGAACTGGTTACTCTGTGGAGAGCACGTGCACTCTGTATGTGTTATGGGGAACTAGCACGAGTTCCTATCACAGCTATATTTTCATCTGTTTCAGTGCATATGCTAAAGAGCAGATAAATCTGCGTCAATTAAGCATTGACCTGTTGTAAATTATTAGTACAATTAAGCCCAACAGTCTAACAACAACAAAACAAAACAAAACAAAACAAAACACCTGAAGTGCAAATCTTCTCATTGGGATTTCGTCACCTGGATCCTGTGTAGTCTCACTACAAAAAAGTATCTTTCCCACTTCATTGATCTGGGCTGCCTCACAGTTAATTTCATGTCAAATTTTTTGGTTCACCTTTAGTGGATTACCTGATACTTTTCCTCACTGCTCAATACTGACACTCACTGTGTGAGCGAATGTTTTTACAAGTGGGCCACATTTACGAAAGCATTCTTCCACCCCTAGGATTTCATCAGCTACGTCCATGTGTGTATTTATTATGCTAATAATCCGTTACAGCTACATTTGAAATATATAGTATTAGTTATAGTGTTTCCAGCATATGGCCCATTGGTACTGGCAATCATGTTCCTTAAATTATGGATTTTCTTTTCACTTAAAAAACACACAGAGAAATAGCTGGGCAATGTAACTTTTAAACCTGCAATCTACTAAAAGCAGCTGAAGTTAACTCTGTGTGTCAAAACTGGAAACTTCCCATTACACCTTAATGGTGAAGTAAAGCTCTCCCACACTTTCTCAGAGTGCCTCTTTTCACCCTAGAGAGAAGAACCACTTCCTGTCTCTAAAGGAGAGCCGAGGAGAACTCTTGAGTTTCTATATTACATGGTTTTCTTGAATACAATTCACTTTGTAGAAAAAAATTGGGACAGATGTTGCAGTTTAACTCCCATCAGCCCCAGATAGAATGGTCTGTAGTCCAGGATGATGCCAGTGGTAGCCCTCTAGATATTGTTGGGCTCTGGGTTCCTCACTTCTATGTACAGAAAGCATGAACAGGTAGTATAACGGAACATCCTCCTGAATAGAAGTCTCTAACGTTGTTTCCCTTGGACCACATGACCACAAAACGTATCATCTTTTCAACAGCTGTGGTAATGGACTCTACGTTTCAGTGTTTGTAAACTCACCTGGTACATAGAGACAAAATGAAGTGCTTCCTGTGGCAATATTCAGCTGATAAAAGGAACTGTAAAGTTATGGAGTGTGTAAACTGCAGAGTTATTCTTGCGGACTTGCCTTTTCCGGAACTAAATAAAAGTCTGGGAGATAATGAATGAAATTGACAGGAACTGCCAAACCAGTTTAACTGAGCTTTTAATGCACTATTGATCAATTAGATGATAAAAAAAAATTGAAGAAAGAAAAAGGCACACAATGTGAATACAGGATTCACAATAAACTTGATGAGAGATATTCTGATTTTTCACCAGTTCAGAATTAAACTTTATACGTTCAGCCACAGTGCCTTATATCTTTGGAAAGGTAAGTGAAGAAAGGTAAACTAAGTTAGATATGATGTTTCTAATAACATACAGCCCTGCCTTGAATATCATATTCTCTTCAAATATGAGTATCCATATTGCCTTAATAGTCACCTGTTATTGTGGAAATGTAGAGAACCAAACTGAAGACTCGACATATTAGAAAGCAAGAGAAACTGAAACTGATAGATCACATGTTAGCAAGTCTTTGTCATGCCTGGAAGGAAGTTCCCTGCCTGGGTCTCGCCACCAACCATCACCTGTGCTTTCATACTAACATCGAACAGCCTTATGCCCAGTAGTGTGGCAGCATCTATGGAATCAAATCACAGGACAATATTGTAGTAAATGATCAGGCACCAATTTTTCCAATGGCTCTGCAAAAGAAAAAAAGCACCCCATTAAATTATGTGTAAATGAATCTGCTGGTGGTCACAATAGCTCATTAAATAGGGCTTACAGAAGAGAGGGAAAGAAGGAAGTCATTTTCACATAGAGACACCATCAGGGCAGAACTCCGGGGCTGATGTCCAGGGGGCCCCACTCAGTAGAAGGAGCAGGAAGACTTCCAAATGCAGCAGGACGGATATGACACATGTTTAAGTCAGCCAAACAATATTGCCATCTAAAGAAACCCCACTGGAAGACTGTCCAGAGTCTAGAATTCCCTAACTGAAGCCCAATTTATCAGATTTATTTTTTAACTTTTTGGAACAGGACTGGCAAGCCTTTTAAGCCAGAGGACCACATTGCCCTCTGAGCAACCTTCTATTTAAGTGGACAGATTCAATAAACCAGAATTATACCATTGTTCAGTAGGCTAGTTTCTCCACACACATCCCCTTTTATCCTCGATTCAAGCAATGAAGATGCTTATCACCAGAGTTCAAGGGCAGATTCCTGCCAGCAGAAAGGGCTCACTAGGCAGGGCAGAGCAGCTACCCTAGCTTCCTGGCAGCTGGGTCCCTGTTGCTTACCAGGAAGGGTGAGGTGATGGGGAGGCCAGCAATGTATGAATGCCCCAGCAGGAACATCCAGATTGGCTTCATCAGTGCATTTGCACTGCACAGACTCCCACCACCACTTTGCCCCTCCCCATCCTGGTAAGTAACAGCAACTCACCTGCTGAGAAACTAGTACAACTAGTGGGATACTAGCAAGATGCCTCTACCAGCCAGCCTAAAACATACTAAGTAAAAGAACATAAGCTTTATTACCCCCCTCTCCCGTTCCCCCCCTTTTCTTCCCAACCCTATACTGCATATAACACCAATGTCTCACAACAAATGTAACTGATCTGTAGAAAACACAACCTGAAGAAAGAGACAATGCATGTGCTTTTGTAAACGAAGAAAATCTTTAATAAAATTATTTTTAAAAAAAGAAGAGTGAAAAGTGGGATTAGTGAGGGATGTGGCTTGGGAAAGTTGTGGCCTGGGGAGAGTCCTGAGGGCCACATTTGGCTTCTTTGGCTCACATGCCTCAAATTCTCCTTAATAATAATAATGTTATTATTTATATGTCACCCATCTGACTGGGTTGCCCCAGCCATTCTAGGCGGCTCCCAGCAACACCATAAAACATCAAACATTAAAAACTTCCCTATACAGGGCTGCCTTCAGATGTCTTCTAAATAGATGTTTATCGGTTTTCCTTCTGATAGGAGGTATTTTACAAGTTGGGTGCCACTACCAAGAAGGCCCTCTGCCTGGTTCTCTGTAAGTTCACTTCTTGCAGTGAGGGAACCACCAGAAGGCCCTCAGAGCTAGATCTCAGTGTCTGGGCTGAACAACAGCGGTGGAGATACTCCTTCAGGTATATAGAGACTGTTTTAGAATTTGTACAAAATTTGTACTAATTTGTAATATTTGGACAAAAAGTAACTAGTAAACTATTATAATACTAATTATTATTATGCGATATGCTATATTCAGACTGTGTATTCTTTCTTCTTATTATTTGTATGTAAATGTGTGTGGGTTTTTTTCTTTTGAAGCAGGTAATGGAAACAGAGGGACGCGGGTGGAACTGTGGGTTAAACCATAGAGCCTAGGACTTGCCGATCAGAAGGTTGGCGGTTCGAATCCCCGCAACGGGGTGAGCTCCTGTTGCTCGGTCCCTGCTCCTGCCAACCTAGCAGTTTGAAAGCAGGTCAAAGTGCAACTAGATAAATAGGTACCGCTCCGGTGGGAAGGTAAACGGCATTTCCGTGTGCTGCTCTGGTTTGCCAGAAGCAGCTTAGTCATGCTGGCCACATGACTTGGAAGCTGTACGCCGGCTCCCTCAGCCAATAAAGCGAGATGAGCACCGCAACCCCAGAGTCGGTCCCGACCTAATGGTCAGGGGTCCCTTTACCTTTACCTTAATGGAAACAGAGCTCTATACAGCAGAAGTTCATATACTGACCATGATTCCACAGATAAAGAAAGTTACATGCTCTAGAATCTAAATGACTGTAATTTTTAATTGGAAGTTTCAAAGCATTTTTTAAAAAAAAAAATACACATATTCTTTACATGAACCGCAAAGCAGAGGTAAACATTGTATGAAAATGACTGTACATTAATAACACCACCTTGAAAACACCCCACATACTGAGATTATAAAAGTAGATCCCAGAGAACTTACACATAGTCATTTAACCTGTAACCACTGTGAGAAGCAGAAGTTAGTGATGAGGTGTGGTTTGCCTTGTAGGCCACTGGGGGTCTGTAGGCTGGAGCTGCCCTTGTACTCCTCGGCTGTGAGCGGTAGGTTAAATCGTTCCCAGTACGTTGACATGAAACGCAGAGGATGGTTCCACCAATGATACTCAATGAAGCACAAACGAAGCCAAGGTAAAGGGCTTGCCCGATCTCATACTTCATCCCATTGGGCAGCATTGGATTGTAGAAATCAGTTACCACATGATTGGTTGACCAAGAAACCGGGACGAGGCACACGAACCCCGCCAGTATGAAAAGGACTCCGCCCAAGACAGCAAACACGTTTTTGGCAGAGGACCCTTTGACGCACCTGGTGCACTCCATGCCAAAAACAGCAACCACGCAGGCCAAGGTGGAAAGAACACAGGAAATCACCATCATGGCACGGGCTGCTTGGAGGTCACGAGGCAAAGCCAGAGGAGAGTGGTGAAGCTGGCACTGATAGATGCCAGTGCTGTGCCAAACGCATTCCATCCAGAGACCCTTCATGTACGCTACAGCCGTGATGATGTTGGTCCCCACGTGGGCTGTTCTCCACCAGTGAGGCAGGATGGTCGCAGTTATTGTCCCAGCAAGACCGAGAAGACTCAGGAAGAAGCCCAGTAACTGAATAGCCATGCTGGCCATGTTAATGTTTGTCCTGGTTATACTGCTCGGTGCAGTATCTTGGTTGGGGCTCCTTCTGAAAGCACAGCCTCTCCCGGGAGATATATGGCAGGTTTGCTTTGACACCTTCTGGATGCCTAATAAAGAAGTAATTGCGGAACAAGAAGTTAAACATTATACGAGTGCATTACTCCAGTGACCAGTAAGGTGCATTCCAGAGGCAGTTAGTGTGATTATTAGCATATTTAACCCACTTTAATGCGCTCTGTGAAAACGGTGGGAAAGTAATTGCTTCTTGTTATTTACACCTGCCCTGTCTGCTCCATGAGGAATAACACTGTGTGTGTGTGTGTGTGTGTGTGTGTGTGTACACCCATATAAGATATAACACTGAAAAATACTTTAAAAGAAACATTTTGTCTTCTTAACAGGCTTTCTAAAATACCTATTTCCTTTAAACAACAACAACAGCAAGATTAGAACGCTCTCAAATTCCTATGGAACAGAGGGAGAAAAGATTTATGAAGCAGGAGCCTAAAAGCTACTTTGCAGGATAAAAACATTTCCAAAAGGTCATAGCAGGATTACAAAAACAATGATGCTGTGTTTGCTCAAACTGAAAAGCAACTAAAGTGAATTTAAAAAAAAAGGGCTTCTAGAAGAGGGTAAAGCACAGTGGATTACAGTTCCCTTTCCCACTTCCCAATATTTCTTGAGATGGTGTTGTTTTAATAAAGGAACCTGAAGGGGAATAATTTTCATTAGCCCCCATGGAGACTCCGGTTATGGCTTTAATCTAGATGACAGCATGTGAAACCAGATGTGTATCATGCAGCTTCTGAGAGGTGGTACCTTCACAGTTATAGAAAACATCCTATAATAAATTCAAGCTGAAACACCATGAAAGAAATAGAGGCCCTTCCACCTGTGTAAATCTTAGTTTCGGTGATCTCTGCTAATGGTTCATTTGCAAGCTGTCTGGAAAAGCTGTGTGAGAGAAAGAGAGTGTGATCAAAAACTCTGAAAGTTAAAACATGAAGTAACTGTTGAGTCAAAATCCAAATAGGATCCAAGGGGGAAAGAAGCAAAATAATAGATCTGTGCACCAACCAGATGATTCAGTTCAGACCCGGATTCAACACTTCAGAAAACAGCTGTCTGAGCTGGACTGGGGTCTGAGGCCAAGTCCACAAGAAAAAAGACAATGTTCCCTGCCCCATTTGCTGTTGACATTTTTTAGAAATGTCAGTGTTCCCCCCTATTTACAGGAGTAGATGAAATTTGCAGACATAGCAGCCTGTCCAGAATGGATAAAGTGTACCAAATTATAGTCAAACAGGTCCAGGTTTTTTGATGTTGATGTTGTTCTGAATGCATTTAAAGTTTGGTGCTTATTTGGGCCTGTTTCATGACTGTTCATTTATGGAGGATAGGTTTTAATAAACTCTATTATAGATTTTGTTATATAATTATGTACACTCCCTAAATCTGTTCTGAGTTTCCACCCCAACCCTCTGGATCAAATTTTGGGAAGGTGTGGAGAGAAGCGAGGAAACGGAAGTTCTGCTGAGTGAATGGAAATTCTTGCACTAACTATTTTGTTTGATGCCATCCATAATCTCTATTATAGATTGCTGTACATTGCAAATTAGATTTAGAATTATATTTCATTCATAAGGCTTAATACACCATAAACTTAAACTGCACAAAACAGGTAGGATTAGAATCCAGATCTCCCATGGCCAAATCCAATATCCTATTGCAGGCATAGACAAACTCAGCCCTCCAGATGTTTTGGGACTACAACTCCCATCATCCCTGACCACTGGTCCTGCTAGCTAGGGATGATGGGAGTTGTAGTCCCAAAACATCTGGAGGGCCGAGTTTGCCTATGCCTGTCCTATTGGATGGGATCATTGAATAGTGCTGCAGGATATCAGGTAGAATAATCTTGCATCACACATTTGCTTTCTCGGTCACTCGCAACAATGTTAAATGAGACATTTAATAGTCATGTTCCATGAATAAAATGGAAGTGTCAAGGTAAAATACAGTCATCACTAGATATGATGACTCTTGTACATGTGAACTAAAATTGCTCGTTGATGGTTTTTCTTTCAGTATAGCATACTTTCTTTAACTGCAGCACAATAACATCTGCATGTATGTTATACTGATCTTTGCGCTCGTGTGTGTGTGTGTGTGTTTAGAATTGCCAGAAGAACATTCTAATTTGGTGCACTCTGCTTTTGGTTCCACTGTATTCAGCTCAGGAGCTTCCCTGTCCTATGATTGAGATGTTTGCAAATATTTCTATCTACACAACAAAGGCATTCAAGAGCACAGTTGGGCACTTTTAAGTCCTTTTGAAATCAGTAGGGTTTAGTTGCACCTAATGTTGCCCCTAAGGCTTATGGGCATTACATTTACTCCCTTTATATATTTTATATTATATCTACCATAGAATCATAGAATCATAGAATCATAGAATCATAGAGTTGGAAGAGACCACAAGGGCCATCGAGTCCAACCCCCTGCCAAGCAGGAAACACCATCAGAGCACTCCTGACATATGGTTGTCAAGCCTCTGCTTAAAGACCTCCAAAGAAGGAGACTCCACCACACTCCTTGGCAGCAAATTCCACTGTCGAACAGCTCTTACTGTCAGGAAGTTCTTCCTAAGGTTTAGGTGGAATCTTCTTTCTTGTAGTTTGGATCCATTGCTCCGTGTCCGCTTCTCTGGAGCAGCAGAAAACAACCTTTCTCCCTCCTCTATGTGACATCCTTTTATATATTTGAACATGGCTATCATATCTCCCCTTAACCTCCTCTTCTCCAGGCTAAACATGCCCAGCTCCCTTAGCCGTTCCTCATAAGGCATCGTTTCTCATTAGGCATAGGTTCTCATTCTTTGCGCCAGCTCCATCTATATGCTCTTTGTCTAGGGTATCCATTAAAAAAAACCCTGATAGACTCAGAGAAATAAAAAAAAATGAACAAATAGAAATATAAATTATAGGAGAATCTTCCGTATAAGATCAGTACTATTAACTCCATTTAATTGATGGGGAAAGTAACCTTTGAGAAATTAGCCTCCTTACCTGAATTTATGCAAGAAGCCTAAAGAAGACTTGAGCTTTTCTTTTTGTGTCCTAATCCAGAGTCTTATCGGCCAAATCATCCTCTTTGCCTTTTAATTTCAGTTCTTTGGTGCTCCAATTCTTTCCTTGACCTTTTATTCATGTACAGAGACCCATCCTTAGTACACTCCTGGTTTTGATTTCTCCCAGTTAATTAAACATCCTGTCATACCTGTATGCACCATGCGTTGTGTACAATTTGAGAGCTCATCTTAGGTCTTTATGAGAAGGCCTTTCAAGGTCAGGCCTTAAGCTTCAATGCTAATCCCAAAGAGAATAGAATATAAAAGGTAAATGCGATTTACGCCATTAGTCACAGGAAACAGGCTCCAAGTTTAATGGAGGTCATGATACTCAATGGCAAGTCTGCTGCTATTTTTAGAAATCATTAAGGTGTTATTTTTAAATTCTAGCTATTGCAGACTTTCTAATTTGGGAAACTGGTGTTAATTAGCCTCACTTGTTTGACGTCATGTTTTCCACAGTCCCTTCCTTACAGACCCTGCCAGCTGCTACTGGCGTTAAGAATGGCTTTAACTGCTATGGGGACGGCTTTTCACCTTCTGCTTAACAACTGTAAATTAACACATGTATCTCAAAGAGCATCAAAGACTTGTAAAAGCATTGCCATCTGTTCCATTTCTTTCCAGCCACCTCGTTCCCAACATGGCTACCTGAGTTACTGCTGTCCAATGGCATCTGTGGCTAAAGACACAAGGCAATAAAAGCATGTTAACAGTGAGCGAATCTACATGCCATAAGAAACTGATAGATGGGAAAACAAATTATTTCTTCATTCCATAGGTAATAACAAAATTGATCATCTCATGTACAATTCAGAGTGTCATAATCTGTTAAGTGACTGATCACAACAACAACAACAACAACATCAACGCATAGCATGCACAGGGTGAAATGTCTAAAAGCTTGCACCGCAAAGGTATCTAAAACCATTTCTTCATCTATTTATCCATTCTGTTGGCTAGCAGGAATTCAGTTTTTGGTGATTTGACCTTAAAAAAAGAAAGAAAAGAAAACACTCACCAAACCAGTGTCAGTAAGAAACCATTCCAGGCACATTATTATATCTATGAAGAGATAAGATAACTCAACAGATAATGAGGTAAAAATGCATGCAGAATCTTAAATTAATGTCCTGATATTGTCTCATATTTCACTCAACTCGCTACCAGTCCATTTCTAAGTGACAAAGTGCTGGTGTTTAACCCAAAAGCCCCCCTTGGCTTGAAAGGTTTCTAAAGGAACAAAGTTTCCCATATTAACTGGCTGCGGACTGAAATAATCCTTGGAAACTTTATACCAGGTGCTCCCACCGTCTGACAACAACTGGGAGGCAATCAGAGATAGGGCCTTCTTGGTTAGAACATCCCACGTATGGGATTTTTTCCTGTTTTTAAATGTATTTTTGCCCACTACCATTTGACTATTTTGTTTAAAAAAACCCTTGAGAAAATCTCAATTGCAGAAGCCATTCAGTCCTATACAGGCAACCAAGTTGCCAATTGTATTGTATGACAAGCTCATAAATCCATATTCTCACTTGACTCTGAAATGTAGCTAACAAGATTATTTCCCTAATGGAAAAAATGCTATAGAGAGAGAGATAAAACGACAACATTTAAGGCAACATTGCTGCCAGTTTTAGAATATCCTATCCATCAGACTGGGCTTTACTTGCCTAATAACTTAACTGTCCTTGTTTTTCTTCCCTCTGTCCTTTCCACTTAACAGAAGGTCTGCTGATGTTTGCAATAATGTTTTTTGCTAACTGTACCAAGATCTGTGGTTATTTGATTCAGGGGTTGTTTGTTGGTTATGTGATGCATTTATATCAAAATGTTAGTGGGGTAACAAAGTGCC